AACATTCCTAAGCAAAAAGACTGTTCAACCACAGCTTAAAAGTGTGTCACCCATCCCATTGGTTATTTCAATTCCGTACTATGATTTACAAAAATCATATCAAATGGGTGTAACTCTTTTGGCATGTCCTTTGAGTCCATGTTGTATACATTTGTATTTTTTGAAGTAATTTAGAGGTTCCTGCACTATGAGACTCAAAAGCACAGTGTGGTTTTCTGCACACGCCTTTTTTTCCCCTGCAGACAATGATCTTCAAGGCAGCGATGGTTCTGGGAGTTTGGGTGGCCCAGATGTTCGCAGACGAATCCCCATCAAACTCATATCCAAGCAGCCCTTAAGGAACAAACCTCCGCCCCGCACCCAGAGACCCAACAGCAGGCCACCCAAAAGTGAGACTGGAGAAGATGGTAGGCACATTCTGCAGTAGACATTTTAAAGATATTAATTTAAAACAATATTCCTTGTGGGTTTAAAAGTTTATGATTGTCTCATGTAAGTAGCAAAAATACATAAATTGTTTTGTTTGATTGGTTTTATTGTCTGCTTAAACTTTTGTATTGAGATTTGTCAGGTGTCATTTGACCTAGGTTGTAGTAGCTAAATGGGGATCACACAACAAGCGAAACTGTTCGTTGAAGCTCATGTTTGTTTTTTGTTGAGAGTGTCAGAGACACTGATTAATTTCAGTCAGGTTAGCAGAATTTAGTTTGTGTCTGATGTACTATTTGCAGTTTATGCAGTAAGGAAAGCTTCAGTAGTCCTTGTTTCTATGTTTGATTCTCTTTTTTTTTTTTTTTTTTTTTCCCATGCTCAAATAATTTTAGTTGTAGTAATACTAGTTTGTTTGTTTTTTAAATAAATTGATGTTTGCCCCAGCCCTATGAAGGACCTTGATGACTACTTTAGGGACAGTTCCCTTATACTGCTAAATCACCACTTATTTGTGTTTGAGGGCGTGCTCAGTTTTTCTGCATTGCATTATTAATACTTGTCTCTTTTGTGTTACAGATAACTTTGGCTTCAAGCAAGAAGAGAGGCGCGATTGTGGCGCTAAAGCCGGTGATGTGTTTGCAAGTCAGAGGAGATTCCCCCAGCCACTGTTTTGGGACTATAAGGTACATCGCCTGTGGGGAGTGAAACGACTTAACAGCCCATACAGTGTTTTCAGATGGATATTAATGACACTTTATAACAAATGTCTGGCACAGAGTACATGCCTCCTCTCCATACAATTAGAAACGTTCTGATGTGAGACTGGTTTAAAGAATTATCTTCCTATGTTTTCCTGTGTGGGGAATTCTTACTTTAAATCTTAAAGAATGAACAAACAAAACACGGACACATTCACATTGCTAATGATATTCTAGTAACTGTGTTACATGTGATTTTTTTTTTCTTCAAACAGTTGCATTTGATTGGAGAAAGGGATGAAGTACCAATTCACTTTTGTGATAAATGTGGTCTTCCTATCCAGCTATATGGACGCATGGTATGTATTTTGTTATGTTGTTGAACCGACCTTTCACTGCAGGCAATCGCAGATACTTGTTCATGTGTAACTGTTGCGCTCTAACTCCTCAGATCCCCTGCAAACATGTCTTCTGCTACGACTGTGCTTTGCTTCACGAGAAGAAAGGAGAAAAGATGTGCCCTGGGTGAGCTCTTCTGGAGACATTTTAAATGTGTAGTCTTTGAGTTGTGGTGAAAATTCCTCACAGTTTTAACTTCCTTTTTTTTTTATCAGTACCAGGTGTTTTAAATAGGGATGCACGATATTGGATTTTGGCTGATATTCGATATACCGATATTTTCAAACTCATTTTGGCCGTTACATATATATTTTTTATTTCACTGAAGAGAAAGTCTCTCCCTGGTACTATGTTTACCCTGTTACTCACATTTATTGTAGATGCAGACATTAAACAAGACAAACAACATTTCTATCATTATTATTTCACTTGGGGGAGAATAAATCATGTATGCTAGTGCCACCCGACCCCTTATGTTTTCTGAGCTGCAAACAATGAGCTCTCTATTGCACAAAATAAAAGCAGGTGTCGTCCAGACCTAAAATGTCAGTTTGCGTTTTAAAGTATAACGAACATGGCTGAAAAAAACCTTCAGCTCACTTGTAGGCCAACTGATCCCACTTTAAACTGAACAAACTAACAAAAATAAGCTCCATATGACTTTCTGAGCCACAAACATCATTGTAACAAACCAGGGACAAACGTGAACTCTCTATTGCAGAATAATATATATCACCTTTTTAAGTAACATACATTTTAAAGATTAAAATGTAAATCATGCCCCACATGTTTGCATAATGCTCCCATGAGGCAATCTTGACAAAGTAGTTGACATTGTACAGAAAATTACATTGGTCAAGTGCACAAAATAAAGCGGCTGTAGATCAGACCTACACTTCAGTCCTTAGGACCAACTTTAAAGTATAATGAAACTTAAAACCAAGCTCCATATATTGTCTTGTGAGCCATGAACAGTCTTGTAACAACCCAGGGACAAACCGTGAGCTCTGTTTTTCAAAAAATGCAAGGACATTTTATCCTTAACATGAACCTCAGTCATCCTTCTCAGTCCAGCTAATGAGGGTCACAACTTCTGCTGACTGGCATGCTTTTCTTTTTAATACCAGAGGTAGATTTCTCTCTCCTTGTCTATCGCTTCATGTTTAGCAGCGCTAAACAGCCTTTCATTGTCAACGCTTGTGCAGGCTGCACGCAGGTATTTGTGTGCAGCAGGAGCAACAATGAATAGCAAATTCATTATCTGTTTTAAAGATTTTGAAAGACCTCCATACAGCCAACATGTAGAAGTTTGTTCCAAGCGCTTACGCAACATTCGCAGTCATCACATGCGCATAGTAAAGATGCAATCTCACCGGCCAGGCTCATCAGCAGAACGAATCGGCTTCTAGAGTATGTGGTATTTTGTAATGCAGCTTGGGTGTGTTTTTTTTACTGCTTTGTGACTGAACTTTTGTCCCCCGTGTGTTCAGCCTCACCTTGTACAGCTGCACAGACCCAGTGCAGCGCATTGAGCAGTGCCAGCGTGGTTCCCTCTACATGTGCAGTGTTGTGCCGGGATGCAAGCGCACCTACCTGTCCCAGCGCGACCTGCAGGCCCACGTCAACCACCGCCACATGAGGGCAGCCAAGTCTTCCGCTGGCCGACCGGAGCCTGTGCACCTACCCCCTGCGTCTGAGGTCCCTGACCGGTTCCGTGTGCCTCCACCTCACTTACCCAAGAACCACGTTCACCTCCCCAACCCGCTCCAGCACAGCAGTCATGACCCCTATAGTCAGCCACCCCCACCTTCAGCTCATGACGCCCCGCCCCCGACCTCTGCTCTTGGTCCTGAGACATTCCGCATTGCCACGGTAACAACCCGTAAACACAGCAATCTCATCACTGTACCCATCCAGGATGACTCCTCTTCGTCTCGGGAGCCCCACCCTGGTGGGCCAGGCCCCACTCAACCACCCCACCACCACCCCGGGGACTATCCTGGCCAGCAGTCAGTAGTGTCCCACGCTCACCACATGATGGCGCCACCACAGCAGCACTTCGGCCCTCCACCTCCTCCGCCTCCTCCGATCAGCCACCCCATGCAGCATCCTCCCCAGGCCTCAGGGACACCACACATGGTGTACAACCAGGCCCCTCCTCCCCCCATGTCCACAGCCCCCCCACCAATCACTCCACCACCAGGGCACATCATGGGCCAGATGCCCCCTTATATGAATCACCCGCCCCCAGGACCTCCACCACAACACAGTGGCCCCCCTGTCAATGCTCCTCCACCTCATCATTACAATCCCAACTCCATGCAGCAGTTCCCTGAAGACCAGGGTACCCTTAGTCCCCCATTCAGCCAGCCAGGAGGGCTCAGTCCTGGTATGTGGCCTGCTCCAAGAGGGCCCCCACCTCCGCGAATGCAGGGTCCTCCTCCCCAGGGCCAGATGCCCGGACCGCACCACCCAGATCAGGGCCGCTATCGCCCTTACTATCAGTAAACCGCCATGTTAATGAATGAGCAACTGTCTGTGTCATTCTGTCCCGTACCACTAGTCTGAATAATGTGATCGTAAACCTCAGGGTTACAGGATGTAGGACTTTCATTTTGATAAAAACTGCCCGGAAGCTAATGTGTATGTGCTGCACATTTTACTTAGGTGTACTGAACTTTCCACTGAACATAAAATAGATTCGGAGAAGAGCAGGAATGTCCATTGTTTTTTGTTTTTAATAGCGTATGGTAAATATTTCTGTATATATGTCCGCTGATTACACGCATATGTACTGTACATTCAAAGACGCTAACTATGTCTCAATAAATTTTTAACGAAAGATTTGCATCTCATCCTTGATATGATGACTGGCGGACCACCAGCTGGTTTGTTTGCTTTAGAGGTTATTGAGAACATTTTGATGTAAGCTTTCTTAAAAGACATTTATATTTGGTGATTAAAGAAGACACTTGTCAATGAGTCTGGTTCTTTCAAAGCTTATGTCCCCAGGTTGATGTAGTAATTCATCTCATGTATCTTTGTCAATTTGCATTTCAAAGAATGTCAGAATTTCACACACAACCTAGTTAGTAGTTTAAAAAAATGCCCCTCCTGTGTAGTAAACCCTACTCTCGATTAGCTGATACTTTGGCAGCTGTTGGTTTTCAATCACTTTGTCACTTACAAATGTTCAATGTTTGTTTAGAAAAAAGTAATGGTCTTTTAAACCTCACTATCTCAGTATTGACTGTACAGTAACCTCACTCTTCCAGGCTTTGTTCATCTTAGTCTATAAATTACACTTGTGTTTAGGTATGTCTTAAAAAATATGAAATTGTTTTTGAAAAACCTGCAGACAGTCAAAAGTGGGGGCTTGTTTTCGTCATCTGCATGCCACAGATTTGCAGAATATGTAAAATGCAATTGATTGACACAATGAACACATTCAACACCCTCTTTTACACCATATGCTTTTTGTATCGCCATTTAATCTTGAAAATATATTGCATTTATCAAACAAACCGTCTGAAAAAGGACACTTCACTAGAGTCCTGTGACAGCAAAGACTGGATCATACATAAAAATCACATCATGATCTTGAATAGACAAACAGCATTTTATCATAGCAGTAAATTTAACAGCAACTCTCTAGTTCTGTGGCTTCAGGGTCTTTTTGAAAGGATGTTCCTGGAGACAGGTGCTCTTCTAGAGTTTGGTATCTATTACCTGCAAAAAAGAAAAAGTCAAAATGAGTGTTAAAGTTATAACTGTACACAAGATGACACGCAGACATTTATCTACTCCGTTAAAGGTCTTGTGTTGAACTTGCTTTGTCTTTGGTTTGAAGACGTAATTGGTCCCCATACACCAATCTTAGATTAAAGACGGAGTAGAGTTAGTTAGAAATTGCTTGTGACTGGCTTGTTTTAAAGCACAGGATTGGAGTGATGGGAAATTTCACTTTAAATGTATTGTAAAAGGAAATGAATATAAAATATATCTCTTGTCCAGTTATAACCTTAGTAATACATTACATTGTAAAATCAGAATGTGATAGCAGAATAAAACCACCATGGAAACTTTTTTAAACTGCAGGAGATATCTTTTATATTCTTTCCTTTTTTACAATACATATAAAGTGAAATTTCCCGTCACCCCATCCTGGGCTTTTTACCAAGCCTGACTCAAGTAATTTCAAACTATCTTTAATCACTGTGGAGTGAAAACCATGAGTTGAACAGCATCCAAGTAAAAATTTTAATCTGTTATGCTTTCAGCTCAGAAGAACGTTTGTGTTGTCTGTAACGTAACTGAGTTTTACCATTCTAACTGCAGGGGTTGTTCCTGCGCCGTTTGCCTTGAGGCTTAAGGATGTCAGTGATCAGACTATCAGGCCATTTATACTTTGGTGGAGATAGCAAGACATCTCTACAGTGACTGCACAACTGCCATGACATCTACTGTGGACATTCATGGTCCCCATTGGATGAATCCTAATGTTTTCAGGGACCTCCTGACCCGTCCCTTAGGGTTTAGCGCCTAGATTTCGAAGGCCCAATGGCCCACACAGGAAATATCAATATTTCAAATTTTGTGAACACCTTCATGCTCCCCAGAAGATAAAGCTGTGAGCTTCTTGAAAATGCCATGCCATTCATTCAGCATTGGCGGGCCTACGCTGCCACTACTGGACAACACTGAAGTACATTAAATCTCTTCACTTTGTTTTCTGTGTTGTGATTTGAACGTGGCATGGAAAATTCAAGTCACAATCAAAAACAATTAATTCAGTTATTAAAGACAAAAAACAAAATCATTGTCCTTTAAACAAGTGTTTTTCATTTACTCACAACACAGTGAATGCATACATAAAAAGGAAATACATATTACAATGTGTACTGTATTTCACTTAATATCTTTGATTTCTTTTTATTTAGACATTTTAAATCAATCAAATTATATTGGGAATTAAGCTTTTTCTTATAATTACCTCATTCCATCTAGTGCCACCCTAAGGCTAAACCTGATACTTTAAGCTCCATTATTCATATGACTAACAGAAAAGAAAAGTTGTTAGTCTGTCCAACACTTGGGGGATAATGAACACTTCTAGGGGCCAGATATGGAAACATTTTTGTCTTGCTAGGAATATTAATTAAGCATCCGTACATAAAGATTTCTTTAGAATAGAATAGCTTTCCATACCACCCGGTCTTTAGTTTCGTCCTTATGTTTTTCAAGCACATGCAGCATTGCGTCATGAAGGGTCGGGAAGAACATGGAGGTTAGAATCTCTTCATCGAAGAACATCCAGCGGTGCAGTTTCTCCAAGACGTATGCTGCCAACACATGAGAAGCATGCTGAGGGTTTTCACAGGCAGTAATCACCTCATGTGCTCTGCTGTTTTCATCACAGATTTCAGGATGTTGTGCTTATTACTAATGAAACTCACCATCACAAGAAACAATGTAAACCTCCACCCCAACATGGATGAACTCTTTGAATGCCTGTGGAGAATACAGAGTATACAGTTTTCATACAAGAAATGTATTATAATAAAATGTACATAAATGAAGAACTGCATAATGCAGCTGAAGAATCATATGTACGTTGGCTCTACTTTATTGCAGAATGACAGTGTTCACCAGATACATATTTGTGATCTTTATGTATATGGTGGTGATTTAACTGGAATAAACTAAATAATTTTTGCCTACAGACACCCAAACTGCATCAACAAAAATATCCAAGGAGCGTTTGGGGCTTCTCTTGGATTGTAAAGTGATCCTTGAGAAGTCTTAAACAGAAAGCATCACAGCAGAGAGGGCGTTGCGCCAAAGGGTAGTGCGTTTACAGTAATTGTATTTTAATGTATCCTTTTACTTTTACTTTTGAATTTAAAAACTTCCTGGTAATTCTGCCTCCTCGAATCAAAAGCTTTCCGAAGAGCGAATCACTGGAAGGTTTTTACTGTGAAACATCACCAGGAACTGCAGCGTTATTTAGAGCTGAAAATTATGGACAGTATATAAATATATTCTTATATATATTTCTTATATATCTTACTCTTCTGTGATAGTAAATTGTATTTTGGACTGTTTGTTGGGTAATTTGAACAAGGCACCTTGTGCTTTGGGAAAACATTTTTCACTTTTTCAAACATTATACAGACCAAAATGAGCAATTGAGAACATAATCTGTAGATTAATCAATGGAAATAATTGTTAGTTGCAGCCCTAGTCTTATTTGTCAATGAGGATAGCAAAAGACTCCTATCTTCTGGACATGTGTACGTTTGCATTTCTTCTTTTTAAGCAAATCAGTTTTAAATAATGCAAGGGAGAACAGGTGAAACGGCTAGTGGACTGCTTAGATGAAAAGTTGGGGGTGACACCTTTTACTGGGACATCCTGCCAATGACTGTCACTTTCTCATCTTCACTACTAATAGCATTCACTGAACTTCAGTATATGACTGTCTTTGTACCGTTTTCAGTCCCTTCATAGCACAGATGTCCAGGAAGGAGACAGCAGAGAAGTCCAGGATCAGGCTGTGGAGGTCCACTCTGGGAACATTGATTTGAGCGGGAAGCTCAGAGTTCCAGCCTTTCTGTTTGACAGACAGAAAGGAAGCTTAAAGCTTTTTGGAAGAACACTTTGAGGTACTCACTGGTGCAGTTGTATATTTAAAGCCTCACCTCTGTAATATCATTATCCTCCTTCTGCAACAGTTTCTTGATTTTCCTGAGAGCCTTGTTCCTCTTCCTCAAAACCCTTACAGGGTTAAATCCAACCTGGAACAAGCAAGTGCGGCATTATGTCCATACACATTTATTTTCTTGAGAAAAGCAAACTGAAGCAGAGGAGAGAATTGATGCGTCATACGTACAGCTTCTATAAGCTTGTCCCTGAAGAACTCAATATTGGCGAAGAAGATGGGCGAGGGTATCCTGAAGATTGTTACTCCCTTAGGTTTGAATAACTGAGACGGGAAGCATCGTGATAAAACAAACGTGATTCAGGAGGATATCACGACACAGTCTTGTATGTTTATTTCATTTTAACATACTTACATGCAGGTAATCTTTCTGATCTCTGTAGAAGTCAGTTCCTGGGATGTTAGCCAATACAGAACAGCGAGGGCTAGAAAGACATAAAGAGGGTTAAACATAAATATGGGTCTGTTATAGGTCAGCAGGTGGGGAATAAAGCATAACCTTTGAAAATATACTTTTGAAAATCAATGACTTTTTGGTTGCTCGAATCTTCATCTGAGGCCTGAGTACTTGAAACATCACTAGTTTAAACTAGTACACAAATTGGATTGAAATGTCAACTCCACCTATTTTATGTATGAAGTATTCAGCCAGTGAAAACACTTGTAGAACAACTACTGTTGCTCTGGAGGTGGCTTTCCAAAGTTTGATCAAATAACCCTGATTATGTCAAAACCTAACTAAAAGGTATGGAGTTTGAATGATGGTATTAAGTTGCATTATGGAAAATGGATAGGACCCAGTGTTTTTTGAGCGTGACCATTACTAAGGACTAAATGTTGTCATGTAGGTCCTTGACTTTACAGAAATGCAATATTAAATGGCTGGAGTGCCCCTTTATAGGGACAGTACATTTTACAGCTTCATGTTGCATAATGTGTTTTTCATCCACTACAATAAATCCATGATTTTCTCTCTGCAGTCACTTTGAATATTTAGAAACTAATATCAGATGTCATTAACCGTGTTATTACAATTGAGTCCTGAAGACAACCGTGAGCAGCTCCACACCCAAGCCCATCACCAGACCAAGATCCAGTCCCAGCAGGATGGCACCCAGACATGTTCCCACCCACACCACCTGCAGACAAACACCTGAGGTCAAACACTGAAAGAGAATTAACTGGGCCAAGTAAATAACCAAGTAAATAAAGTACATACACAGAAAACTAAAACTATAAGACATTTTAACACCTACACATTCTGTTTTGTCCTTCCCCCACAAGTACGGGATTTCTTTGAACTGCATCAGCATACCCTTCAGATTGACAATGACCAAGGCACCCAGGACAGACTGGAATGAAGTCAAATATTGAGGGTATGTATGAGAAAGCATTCATTTACACCTGTAGATATACACTCACAACTGAGCTTTCTCCCATATATGAATCAACATATAAAAGTCTGTCTCCATTTAAGGAACATAAAACATAACAAACAACAATGGCATAAGCCGTTACATTACAGGAGGGAGTCTCACCCTGGGAAGCGGCTCCAGCAGGAAACCAAGTGCCAAAGTGACAATCATTGCCATCATGGCTGAGATCAGCCCTGCAATCTGCATTTGTAAAAAAAAGTTAATGTTTCATTTTAACATGCCAATGAAGGAAACAAATGTGATATAAACCAGATGACATTACAATAAATCTTTTTGGAGAAAAAAATATTTGCGTGCAGTGACCTAGTAAAAGTTTGTGACCCAGGAAACTGATGTTGTAAATGGTGAGATTCCTTTTCTCACCTGTGTTTTGCCTCCTGAGCTCTCCTGCACAGCCGTCCTGGAGAGTGCTGTGCTGGCTGCAAACGACCTGAAGCTTGCCCCAAATATGTTGCTAACCCCGAATGCAATGAGCTCCTGCGATGGAACAATGAAAAGTTAAGTTACCCCTCTGGCAATGAAAGTTAACCTATGTTTTCACTTGAATGACTCTGTTTGACCTGCTTTTTTATGTGCCGCACATAAAAGCTAACATCCAACCTTGAACTAAATTCAATATTTAATGTTACTTTATATCTTCATAGCCAAAATTATGAGGAGTCTTATTGTCGTATTCACTTAGTAACCAATTAACTATTTTTCCTCTGTGAACCAGATAAGGATAGGCAGTCTTCATGTATGTAACTCACCTGGTTCCCATCAATGGTATAATCATGTTTGATAGAGTAGACTTTGGCCACAGAGAAGGCAACAGCAAACCCCACTATGGCTGCAGGAAAGGCCTCCACAGCACTCTCCTTAAAGATGTCCACGTTGGGTGCAATGGGAGATTCATACCTGAAAGATATTGTGTATTATATTGTGAATTTAAATGATCTGAACACTTGTGGAAAGTAGCTAAGTACATTTCAAGTACTAGTCTTAAGTACAATTTTGAGGTAATTGCACTTTACTTGAGTAGTATTTTTTGCTATTTTATACTTCTACTTAACTGCATTTCAGTGGGAAATATTTCTTGCTCCACTGCATGTATTTTCTTCTCATATTAAGATTGTACATTAAAAAAATATGATGAGCGTATAAAATACAGTGCATCATTAGGTATTAAACTAGTGGTTCCCAACCTTTTTAGCTTCTGATTACCAGTGAAACATGTTCCCTCACATTTTTTAAATATGGTTTCATTTAAATAACTGTTCAAGGTTGATCAAAGATTAGAGAAAAGTAAAACAATTAATACAAATGTGTGTCGCAGAACTTTCCATTCCCATTTGTCATCTCATGACTCCTCAGATTTATCTTGTGAGCCTTTGAAATGGTTCTAGGTTGGGAACCAGGGGATTACCTTCCTCTACAGAAAATGGTCAAAATCTCAACCTCAGCTAGCTACCAGCTCACCAACAGTACAATACCGCTTAACGTTGATACATCAGTATTAACAATCTGTTAATTTCATCTATAATATCGCTCAGTTTGTTAGTGATCTTACTTTTAATACTTTAAATACATTTTGCGGATAATACTTTTGTATTATAACTTGTTTTATTTAAGTAAGATTTTAAATCCAGTACTTTTACGTGCTTTGAAGTATTTTAACATTATAAACATGGTTTGTGAATAAAGTACAGTAATGATACTTTTACTTAACTGAAGAAGTATTTCTTTCTATTTCCACCACTGGATCTGAATACTTCATGAAACAGCAGCCAGCTTGACTTTTACCTTTAATCTACTGTTGTACGGGGAGAACTTGAAACTTACCCACTAACCATTTTGCCAACAATGTCAACATCAAATGTCTTCTCGAAGTTGAAGCCATAGGACAGCCCACAGGCTATGATAGTCTGTGTGAACAGCAAAGATACCTGACAGTTTGGTATCTATTGATTTCCATTCATCATGGTTTAAAATCAACTTTGCAGAAACCTTGTACATGCTGGAGGTAGGTCATTAAGTTCAGCTAACAATGGGTTGGCTTTGTGTTTATTGCCAAACTTGCTTGATTGTTACAGTACATCGTAACTGACCTTTTACATTTTGACATGTTAATACGAGAGACATTGTGCAGGAGGTTTCTCTCACCACAATAACCTCTATGGGGATGGGGACAGGCAGCTTGGCTTTGTATGTGTCATTCAGCTCCTTCACGATGAACACCACTGCTATGATAACCATGGACATCACCAGGTCACAGTTGTTGGTGGAGGTGATCTGGACAAAGATCTTCTCCAGGGTCTGTGCAGGAGAAGCAAACACACTTCACTCTACACCTTGAGCATGATTAAAAATTCAAAGTATTATATAGTTTTATGTGACAATATAGGTAAAATCCCAAGGCAAATCAGAAAAAGGTCATATAATTAAAAACTGCTGCTGTGTAATTTTGACACATGACTAAAAGGCATATCCAATCCTGCTTTACAATTAATTCCTGTTGTCCTGAATGCAGCACAAGTTTCTATAATGTCACTGAAGCTCAGTCAAGAGGTAAGGCAGGAGGAACTATGAAGCTTGAGTTTCTTGTTGATCACTGAAAAATGTACAATATTGCCACATTACATTATCAGGATTTGAAAGTGTGATTTTATCCAAGTCATAGCAGCATTTTAAGATACCTGTAAAACTTTGTCAACCATCCAATATAATAGACATGATTGGAATTTTATTTCCACTTGTCATAACTTGAGTGAACTCACTGTTTGAAAGTTTAAGCTAACAAGCTACCTGCCAGTTTAAGCTAGCTACCTGGTTATGCTTGCACTCAGAAACAGTGTTGCCAACTCTCTTCCAATGAGAGAAACTACCGGCTGCTCACCAAATGAGTTTTCAAAGAAATTAAACAAATGACATGACAGTTTGCATATAAAACATTTGCTTAATTAAAAAAAGGAATAAATTGATATGCATTCTAGAGAATTTATAGGATTATATTGTTGTTGAAAGGAAAGAGGATATATTTTTGTATCAACATTGGAGAGGACACATTATTATGAGGGGGGTCTGGTGGTCCTCCCCCAAAAGATTTTGAGCATTAAACATTTCATATATAAACATTTCAAAATATAAAAATATAACAGAATATAATGCAGCCATTCTGTATTGCTTTCAAATATATTCTCCTGTAGATCAACATTTCTCATTTTATATCATCCCCGCTGAGTCAACACACATGTAGGCATGATTTAGTCTTCACTCCCTTTTTGTGTCATTTGTTTGGGAAAGTACCCTCTTTAAATGTATATGTGGCACCTTTTCACATCAATTAATTCATTAAAATTAATTCATTTTAATACATTTATAAACCCCTGGACTTTAATAGCTTGTTTTCTGTTCATAACTTTGTGCACATTCAAAATCTATCCCACATATCTGTGTTCTCTGACATGTTGAGAAAAGTCTACCTGTCCTATACTCTGCTGTGCATTGCCTATGTTATTGCTGTGCTGAGATGGTAGTATCCAGTCCAAATGACCGTTTGGCACTGTACAGGATCAGACAAGGATGTGGAAACCCGAAACTAACTGAAAACACTTGTGATCTGGCAGCAATTTCCACAAATCCACACAAATGGTAACTTCAGCACCTCCAATAAAGTGCTCAGCTGCTTCAGTGGGACGCGTCCTGGAGCAGACAGACAGTCCTAAACAGAGCAAAGGTGTCTCTAAACGAGGGGGACGCAGACACAGCTGAGCTACGGATCAGAGGAAAGACACCACACTGGAAGCAACATATTATGACTTCATTCTCGAAATATTTACAACTTTTCTGATAATGTTATGACTTGTAATCAGAGAAAAAAATTAGATTAGTATTATTTCAACACTGGTCCTAAAATTAATAATTTGCAGGTAAGACTAGACACTGACTTCACATGGTTATATTAAATTTGACCCCAGGGAATCACTACATTAGAGTTTAGCTGCACTTCTACCGTGAACATCACATCATTGTCTGACTCTAAACCAAAAATTTCAGCACCAGACATGTTAAAGCAGGAATCTGATCCGAAATTGTGGAGAAATGAACTATCACCAGCAATCAGAAGTAAAGTTTCCTGAGGTTTTCCACAGGTAAATGCAAGCAGCAGCCTCCAGGTCTGAAAGGTGCTGCCAATGCAGAAGTATCTTAAACCTGCATTCTTTCTAATGGCCTGCAGGCGGCAACTCCACTGCCATGGCTGCATTTAACTAGCCATGAATTTGTTTTTGAGAGCTGTCATTGTTTTCATCTAAGAACTTACTGCTCTCTGTCATATATGTTTGCTTAGTATTTATGCCTAAAAACTCTAAACCTGGACTTTGTTTTACATTTATCTTTATATGTACATTTGTTAGAAGAGACCCAAAGAGCCCAGTGAAGAAGAAAGTATTTGTTGTGAGGAGCTAGAGAGGTAACATTAATGTGTTGTTAATGTAGCACAGTATGTAATGTAAACGCATACAGTAATTACCAGGATGTGGGGGTGGAAAGTACAATATGAAACAACCGACAATGTGAAGCATTAATCAAGCAATTATTTCTGGTAAAATGACAACTAATAAACCCACTAAAGTAATCAGTAGTTTAGTAAGCACTGTAGCCACTGTCCCCATGTGTTCACCTGACTACACATTAGTTTCATGACAACATTATGAGTCAGCAAACTGCCTGGAATAGACTATTCAGGAAGTTACCATGTCAACATTACTGAAGGAAGTTTGCAGCCACTGTGAGGACTGTGCTGTAAACTGCATATTACAACATTAGTCCAACATTGTCCTGCCTGTGGGACACTGGGAGTGCAATAGACGCCAACCACATTAGCCACGCAAGTTCAACAGGCTAACCTACAAAATAAACAAACAACACATAACATGGCAAAACTTACAGCTTCCAAGTTTGAAGTCGGCTCACGGACCGCTGGTATAGATCCATCCTTGAGCTTGAACCTTACTGGCCCTCGTTGAGAAAGCAGTATAACGCACACAAATTTTCCAGTTTTTGGGGGGAAATTTCCTCCCCCTTTCCATTGAAAATAAAGTGAATCCACTGGAGGTTTGCTTCCTCAGATGATGGAAGGACATGAAGTTTGTGTTGGTGCTGGTCTGTACAGCCAGCAACAGAACAGTTCCCGTGCTTAGCTCTTAGCTTCGACATAACGCTATCAGGTCCGGTGCTTGTAAGAAAAATTGACCTTTGCAAAAATAGTGGTCAAGCCATCGGTGGAGATGGTGGGCCGTGCTGGGGGCATTGCTGAAGGGGGTGACTGTATGGTTGTGACATCACAACCTTAAGGAAGTCCTGAGGGCTTGTTTCAGGGCACAGTTTCTGAATATGGGCATGGCTCCATGGATTGAACGCTTTGATACTTCCACAGTATTTATATAGCACCAAGGCCTGCTTTATAATCAAAAAAGACATGGAAATCTCACTTTCTATAACAAGGGACTTTTAACCACAAAATTGTCAGTATAAAGTAACATTTCTTTGGCTCTAACCACTGTAATGTGTGCAGGTTTTTTTCTACATTAAGACCACGTTTGCATGCTTAAAGCTATATCTTAATAGTTTATGTCCTCTTTCCCTGGTCTGTCTCATTTTCCTACTGCCTGAATGATAAAAACATTGGGAGTGGTCTATCTCTCCTAGTTCAAACATAAATTTACATAGACAGTAATAATGTAACTGTCAGATACATCGTGGACTTACATATATGATAGAGAGTGGACCATTGATGCCTGGAACGTTCAACCCTAACACAAACTTGAGCTGGGAAACCAGGATGTGGACAGCAGCTGCTGTGGTGAAGCCGGACACCAGAGTGTCAGACAGGTACACAACAATGAAGCCCACCTGAAGAACACCCATGGCAAGCTGCATGGGACAGAAACATGAAGAGAAAAGAGCCTTAGTTTAAAAACCCTTCTTAGAATCTGCATAATCACTAGTACGGGATGGAGATATACTCAAATCTACCTGGAAAATCCCCATAAGGAAGGTAAAAGAGGAGGCCACCAGGACTCTCTGCTGGTCCTGCGACAGGCCCTCAAAGCCGGTGATGTTGGCCGGTGGTCCGTCCTCTGGGACCAGGCGAATGACCACAGCTCCAACCATCAGGCTCAGGACTGGAAAGGAGCCTACATGATGGTAGGTGTGGAGGGGTGTGAAGACACTGTTAAGCTGTATCACATCCAATTTTATCTCTTATCTCTATTACTTTTCCAAACAGGCTCTTTAAGTGATGTTATTACATTTTTTATTACTTGGGGACAGCTTGTAAGCTGACAATTTGAAAAAAAAGTCCTGTTATTGTGAAGGAAATGAAAATATTTTATATTGACATTCATGACTTACCTACAGATAAGTGTCTTGAAGTACCGAGGAAGAAGTAAATTAGCATGGGGAAGAAAGCTGTGTAGAGACCATAGCTCGGAGGCAGCGAGGCCAGCAGAGAGAAGGCCAGTCCTGAGTGAGACAACAAATACAGAATGAAGATTTAAATAATAATGGACATTTTTCATGTCAAATATCTCTGGAAAAACACATTAAACACAAAGCAACAAAGAGGCTGTACTTAGCTAAATGCTACATCTATATACAGATGTTCGCAGGTTTAATGTTCACCATCCAAAGTTAAAATGTTCACAGTTTATGGCGTGAGCTTAATTGGAAAGATAGTAGATAGTAGAACCAGAAGGTTTCCATGTGGTTGAGGAATCATATCAGAATTCATTCAGATAACCAGTGTAGTGTCAAACAACTACATTCCACATCTGTATGGAATTGACAAACAGTCTCATATCATTTATCATATCAACCATTTTATCAACTACCAATGCATGTGTCTCAATACAGGCTGTGGTTGTTACATGAGGAGTGATACTGTATTTTTGGCTGCTTTTAAATGCTTTATTTTATATGAACTAGATGCGTGTAATGAATATGCATGTGTATTAAGCTTACTCGTACACACTATGCATCTGTTATTGTAATCAATTGCTGCTGTGACTCTTTCACAATCAATAAAGTCTAAAGTTTTATTTTAAGTCAAATTTCTCAAATGCATCAGTACTCAGGCGCTCGCCTCCTTACCTTGCATAATGGCCACCAGTCCAGTGCTGATCCCAGACACCACATCACCCAGCAGCCACTCTCTAACTCTGTAGATCCTCATCCAGCCAATAATGGGCAGAAGAGAGAGTACTGCATTCTTGGCACGTTTTGAATCACAGCTGGATTTGAAAAGAAAAAGGGCTCATGTGCTTTGTCTAGTAAAGTTTGAAACTTTTCCTTTGACATTATTTCATCAATTCAATCATAATTAGATACTTACAGAAGACTGCAGTAGTCAAATCAAATATCCTGATCCGGATCTCTAAAAAACTGGGGTTCACTTACGTCAGATAGTCTTTTAAATGGCCCGGGATGGTTTTGTGCCGCCTGCAGATCTTCTCATGATCTTCAGCAAAGCTGTCCTCAGAGTACACAGGTCTGACCACCGCATACTGTTTCCTCAAAGTCACCATTCTCACACCTCTGTCCGAGGAATCCAACACTGTGAAAGTTTCTGGAGATAGATCCCTAAAAGAACCTTTGCCCGTTGCTTTTCTATACAGGGCTGTGAGTCTATCTGTATCTAATCTGTGATCTGTGATCAAGCTCATCGCTGTGTCAGTTTTGTCTTAACTTCGTTCAATCATTAACACAAGCGAATTTATGATTCATTGTGTTGATATTGTCAGAAATGTTAATTGTTGAAGCTCAGTGAACCGCAGCTGGAGTGAGCAAAAGCAGACTCTCTGTGTATGTTCACCATAAATAAAACAATTATGCGTTTAAAGATAATCACAGAATGGTAAATGTGAAATGCTGAAATTGAGGTATAACCAAATATCAAGTATGAATGAGGAATAATAAAAAACATATTCATGTTAATAATGAGCAGTACTGATATGATGCCAGGGAAAGATTACAAGGCCAAAGTTACTAACGAAACCACATGTGACGACTTAGGCGTGAGACTGGAATGGGTTTTAAAGGAAATTAGAAAAATGCTGAAACAGTGTAAGTGAAAGTGCGTGACTAGAACCTCACAGGCACTTCCTGGAGGTTAAAGGTGAGAATAACAAGATACTTAATAACTAGATGACCAGATGCTGTGAAAGTAGGAAACTACTGAGTTCTCAGTACACTGGTTAATGAGCACTAAAACAGTGAACAACCAGAAAGACCACACAAACATATTAGGAAAACAGTTACTTACATAGTTATGTACGTGGGAGTGGCCAGAAACAGAGAGGTATAAATTATAAAACTTTGTGTTGTTTAATTTTTCACTTGCGTCTCGAGTCCAGCTGGCTTTTGTATATTCTGTGATTTCACAATAACGTCTACCAGTAGCCTGAAGTTTCTGTCTGCCTCTCACATTCGAGTTTTGTTTCACTATAATTTATTATGTGTATTGACTAAAGAAGAACTTCAACAAATTAGCGAGCCAGACCAGGAGGAAGACATTATCGAGACTGACCGGGACCAGGGTTCCGCATCAGCCCTTTCATACTCCAATCACACTAGCCTGTAGAGAAAAGGTCTGTAGTGCTGTGATTGGTCTGTGGGGAGCTACGACCGACCCCAGTAAAGGGTTCTGGTTGGTCCTGTGAAATCCTCCTCAAAGAACCTGTAAGTATCTTAAGTCATTTAATCGTTCTGTTCAGTCGTCACGTACGGACGTTTGGTCAAGAACCCTTGGTGTCGCTCTTTAACGCACCAATTACACTTTTAGTGTTGTTTTTGCACGTGCTGGGCTCCACGATCAACAATAAATATGCTATGTTTGGTTAGACTTTCAAAATAAAACACCTGGTTAATGTTGTGAAATATTCCCAGTTTGGTTTAGGAACCAAAACTACTTGGTTAGGTTTGGGCAACAAATCCACTTGGTTAGGTTTAGGTTAAAGTAGGATGGTCACATAACTTAAGTTAATTAAGTAAGTTATGTACGTTATGAAAGATATGTACTTTATGTAGCTTTAGTTAAAAAAAACTCTATGTTGACTACTGATTTCCCAGGGGAAACTAAGTCACTTGGGTGAAAAGTATACAAGGTTTCTAGAATGTCATTGTGGGCGGCTGTGGCTCAGGAGGTAGAGCGGGTTGGCTGTTAATCGGAAGGCCGGCGGTTCAGTCTCGGCTCCCCCAGGCTGCATGTCGAAGTGTCCTTGGGCAAGATACTGAATCCCCGAATGTAGTGTAAAAGCGCTTTGAGTGGTCGAAAAGACTGGAAAGGCGCGATACAGAGCATAGACATAATTAATATTGTATAAAGAACTGTACGTGTGAGGGAGTTTTGGCTCACCCCCTCCCTTTTTTTCTGCACAAGGTGTGTGTCAGATCCCTGCTTTCTCTCTGAGAATGCATGTGAAGAGACAGGCCCTTGCCCCCTTTCATGCTCCGTTTTTTTTTTGTGTTAAAAAATCCTAGCTTTCCCCCTGTGTGTGTGTGTGTGTGTGTGTGTGCGCGCAAGTGAGTGAATGTGCGTCTGTTTTAGCGTTGCTTGTGTGTAAAGTGCTCTCCTCAAGACTACTCAAAGCCATTTCCCCTGAATGTGCCAGAAAAAAAGGTGATGTAACTTAGTCTCTGTAATATACACTGAACAAAATTAAACATGCAACACTTTTGTTTTTGCCCCCATTCATCATGAGCTGAACTCAAAGATCTAAGACTTTTTTTATTTCTCTCAAATATTGTTTACAAATCTGTCAAAATCTTTGTTAGTGAGCACTTCTCCTTTGCCGAGATAATCCATCCACCTCATAGGTGTGGCATATCAAGATGCTGATCAGACAGCATGGGGATTGTACAGGTGTGCCTTAGGCTGGCCACAATAAACATTAGACTTTTGAGTTTAGCTAATGATGAATGGGGGCAAAAACAAAAGTGTTGCATGTTTAATTTTGTTCAGTGTAATTTGTATTTAAGCATGATCACACAGTGGTAAATGTGAAGTGTTGAAATAAACGTAGAACCGATAAATAAAGTATGAACAAGGCATAATAAAAAACACAATCAGGTTAATAAAGAGCAATACTGAAATGATGCCAGAGACAGATTAGATTGAGTGACTCTATGTCACTAGAACCTCACAGACGCTTCTTGAAGGGTAAAGGTGAAAGTACCAAGACACTTAATAACTAGATGACAAGATGCTGGGAAAGCAGGACACTGCTGAGTTCCCAGTATAGTGGTTAATGAGTCCAAACGCACACATTGAACACCCAGAAAGACCACACAAATATATCGGCAATCTGGCTAGTTATGTAAGAGAGATGCCAGACCATACACACTTTGTGTTATGTTTAATTTTTCAGTTAGGGCTGATTCTGTGATATCACAATAACATCTGCAAGTGGCTTGAAGTTTCCGTCTGCCTCTCATTTTTGAGTTGAGACACCATGCTGCCATTTGTGTTGTAAGACTGCAGTTTCTGTGCTCGGTAATCACAACATCAAATGCATTTGCTGAGCTAGACTTTTCTAGGGCAGACTTAGTCTATAATCAGTGTGTAGTCACACGAAAAGAGACACAGCAGGTAGGTTACCTAGTTTGTGAACAAAAAAAAATGGAAGTCTTGAGATTAATAAATGCAGCTGTGATACATGTGGGAATGCGACGTGGGGACAATAAGAGGTGTCACTGGGCTGAGAAGCAGCACCATAAATTCCCAGCACACCTAAACATATCATTGGTTTGTTTTGAGCCACCATGTTTTCGTGTGAGGGATTTTTTTGTCATGCTGACATTTTTCATACCATAGTCAGTATAAAATAAATGGATATAGTCATTGTGATCACCCTTTGGTTTGAGGACTGCCGTTTTGGAGCCTTGAGTTTGGCTTTTCTACTGTTACCACTACTATTAGCAATTAAATAGCTTGTAGCCCCAAGCTAATGGGGCTCTAGGTAGGGGCTTTAATGAGTTTATACTTAGCACAACAGAACAATATGAATAACAAAAAGTTGTTAAACCTACAGGATACAGGGATCGTAGAATACAAGTATTTCTCTATAACATATAAACAAGAAAAGTCTATAAAAAAAAGCTCAAGAAGAGACTCCCAAGCCCAACCCCACTTCAAATGTTGCAGAACTCAGAAAATGTTTGAAAAATGTGAAAAATGTGTCATACATTTCCATGCACCAATCACAGTTAAGCAACCTTTGAATCAAATTAGTTGAGAGGTTGTTTGCTCACTGCCATTAGACCACTGTCACTATAATCTGATCAACCACACCCACACAGTCCTGATGAAGCTTTAGGCCTAGTCCACACTTATGAGTTTTTCCTCCTTCGTTAATAAAAAAATCTGTCTAGATGAAAATGCAAAAACATGCTATCAAGCACTGTCAAGAGCATGCCAAACCACCAGGCATCAATATGCCATGATGGCCAATCGGAGCCTAATAAAATTGTAACAAAAGTACGCAGTGGCGCACAATCAGGGCTAGACTGCTAATCTGGCATACCGGGCAAATGCCAGGTGTGCCAACTGTTTTTAAAAAATGGACAATCAGCCCATAAAGCATGGACAGCGGCCCATTGGGTAATTTTCTACACTGGCACTGGGCTGGCTCAATTACAGGTCTTACTGGCCCCCACTCCCTCTGCTTTCAGTTTCTTGCGTTACAGTGCCAAAAACAAAATAATCTTCAATGCGCGAAAACAACCGATATGTTTGCTATCACGGCCGCGGTAGCTTCAACATCAGCTGCAGTACCCGATGTAGTGCAGGTTCAGGCACTAGAAGGAGTAAAGGAGAGCCGTGACTGTGTTGACAAATAAAAATGCTATGAAAAAGGTTTATTTGCACAATAAGCCTGCAATGCAATGTAAATACAGAAGAAACCTTTGTTGTCCAAAAAAATGTAACTTAGGCTAAAAACAATAATAAGCTATTGATTTGTGCTTCCCTGGTGCAGAAAATGTCTCCAGAATGCAGGAAATTTGTTTAATGCTCTATTTCATCAATACGTTGTTTTTTCTAAACAGTAGGCCTATTAAAATATATTCTTGTCTAGTTGTAATGGCCCCAATCTTTATGTCTCATGGGCTAAGTGTTTTGTCACACCCCTAATCTGAGCCCTTAAATGGAAGGATGGTGTATTGGTGAGGGGTGCCTGACCAATTTTGGTGGGCCGCCTGGGCCAAAAATGCCAGGGCTGATTTTTTGTCCCAGTCCAGCCCTGCACACAATCTGACATCAAACACAGCAGATAACGACACACGCTCTGACGTCGCAAGGCAAAAACTCCGGTTTTACTGTCGACACGACAACTCTGCAACTGTTTCTTAAAATCCTCTCCCTGCCTTTTTCAAAAATGTTCGGTTTGTGTGACCTCATCCTGTGTTTCCGTGTGGATGGACGGCCAAACCGCATAGAAAAAAATCACGGTTTTGAAAATACCCGTGTTCGTTTAGGCAGGGCCTTAGACACAAATTAAGTCATGAAACTAAGCTTTCAGAAGCTTCAAGACCCTTATCATGTCAAAATTAAAGTGAATCAACAAAGCAAGTGCAACACAGTAACCCCGGTGCTGTCGATGCTCCTGATGTTTGCTCGCATTGCCTGTTGGTGATCCAGCCCCTTGATGAGTGTGGCAGCCTTTTAAAAGTACGGGTAGCATCCAAAACAAAGTTTAAGGACATTTAGTCTTTTGAATATTTGCTTGAGCACAACATAAAACCTCACACATTGCTTTGGTCCCAAACAGAGAGCATTACAGTGCACAACAGTGTACAAAAAAGTTCATTTATTCTCATTATCATGAAAATATAACTATACAACATGCAAAATAAACTGCACCCACAATTTCTACAAATTCACTATGTACAGTATAAAAACAATGCCAACAGTTTTCTTACATTACAGTAAATACTGTATATGAAAACATAGTCAGTCAGATATAAAAAGTCAAACTATCTCGTTATTCATTACATCAGTGTATTGTACAGCATGATCTGTGAAATATTTACTTTTTTTGTTTTTGGTCTTTTTGGTGTTTGCCCCAAGAAACCATCATCTGCTCACTGAGTAGTTAGAACCTGGTCTCTGAACCTGGAACCTGTTGGTGAAGAAGGAGTTGTGTCTCAGTCTGTATCATTTTAGAAGCATGTGGAGCTATTTAACATTTTAATTATGGACCTTTTTCAATGACCTATAACAACAGGTGCTGTTTTTCACAAACAAAATTGTATACGTACATTTCCATCTCTACTCCTAGGGTGGTGAACTGTGACTGTTGTTATAATCTGCTGAACAACATAAAGGGTAAAGTATTCAATACATAGTCACAGGACAAATATACCACATTCCTCTAAATATTGTGTTTCACTGAATAAAAATTGTAGGCCTTGTCTTCTTTACCTTGTCATAGTCAGATGTCTTTTCTGTAGACCCAGGATGTTTCTCAAGGATGTGCAGCATGGCGTCATGCAGTGTCAGGAAGAACATTGATGGCTGAACTTCATCATCAAAGAAGCAACAGTCATGCAGTTTCTCCAGGATGTAAGCTACGGGTGGGGAGAAGACATTTGTCAAAGTAGTTAATTCAGATGCCTATAAAGAACTTAGAGACAAAGAAATTATGACACCAAGGATTGTAAGCTGTCAAACATGTCAACATGTGTTTTTTCTTGAAATACAGATTGCGAATAAGTGGGCTTCTATTTATTGTAAAACCAATAAACTTTATGAAAAGCTTATCATTTCTGTCTAAAAGGAATTTACATTTAATCAATCTTTTTCAGTGATTCTCTTGTGTTCCTGTGCTATGATCTTTTCCTAACCTTAACCAAGTAATTTTGTTGCCTAAATCCAACCAAGTTTTTTGTGCCTAAACCTAATCAAACTACAACGTTTCACAACTTTTCAAAATGGCGATGTTTCGATACGCTAGCGTTTTATTTTGAAAGTCTAACCGGACGTTGCATAGTTATTGTTCCTAGTTATTGTTGTTGCTAAATGTTGCTAACTTGACCGCGGAGCCCTAAACGTCAATAAATGAAGAAAAAGGGGTACCCAGGGCGTTAAAAGGCGACGGCAAAGGACCTTGACCAAGTCGGGAGTGAGAACGTGTTGGCTATCAAGCTCCTCTCCTGGGAAACCAGATTCCAGTTTGGGTTTGGGAGACAGACACCATCTCCACATTTAAGAGTAGGCTAGGCTTTAGACTTTCCTCTTAAGGTTATAGTTAGGACTGGCTCAGGTGAGTCCTGAATCTGGATCTGTGGTTGCAAGCCACCTGCTGTCCCTATGTTTCTGTTCGACACCCGCTGCTCTAGTTATTATTGTAGTCATATTAGGAATATTATTATTATCACTATTATTGCTATCACTATTATGCATTTCTATTAATATTTGTATTATTATTACTCCCACTATGTGCAACTTGCATTGTGCTACTGTTTGTTCTCTTTCCATCTCCTCTCTCTCTCTCCTCTCTCTTAACTTATCCGGTCGAGGCAGATGGCCGCCCAGATCCTGGTTCGAGGATTCTACCCATTCTACCCGCCCTTGCCATTGTAGTCAAGTGCCTGCTCATGGTGGGGGATTGTTGGAAGTAATGGTCTAGACTAGCTCCATATGAAAAGTGCAACAAGATAACTTCTAAAACATGTATTTCTGGGCAGTATAAATAATAAATAAGCAAAAGCCCAGAGGGTTATTGCACACATAAAAATGTAACAATAGAGCAGAAAATATTTGAGGTCACACATTTATGTTGTACAGAGCCCATAAAGTAACGTGAAGTAAAGTGAATAATTAAGTGAATTGTATTTACAAGTACCTGAAATAAGTGCATCATAAAAATACTCTACTGGTACATTTTTAAAAAGTATAAGCTATTTTGAAAGTCCAGATTCTGATTTACTGCCTCTTCTGCATGGACACGCTTCACACCTGTCTGTATGGAAGCCTATAGGGGACAATATTAAAATGACAATGTCAACTTGAAAATGAAAATGTAATTCCACTATGGCATTATACTTTTCTACATATGTACAGTATGTGTTATTTTAATAAAAATTAAAATGCAATAATCCAATTTCATTTTCACATACTCTGATGGGCATTCTATGACCATATTGAAATGAAAACGGAAAAGGTCTACTAAAACCTGAATAAAAAAACAGGATGAGGTTGACAGAATTTGATAAAAACAAGGACATTTGACACAGGACTAAGACTAAGACTAAATTTGAAAAAAAAGGCTATATTTATTACAAAATTAAAACTATTTTCCATTCAAAGTCAAAATGATAATTAAAATGCAATTTTCTAACAATTTAAAGTTGATGAGTAAAACAGTATTTGACATTTCACTTTGAAAGATTCGACCTGCTGTCCAGTGGGCAAACTTCAAATTCAATAAGCAAAACAGCGCCCCCAGTCTACTGCATTAATATTTACACTTTCTTTCAGTGTCAAAATGACAAGGCGGGATGTCACTTCCTTCTTCAGTGACTTGGTTCATTAACAAATTCTAGACTTACATTGTACATCATATACTTTGTGTGTCTTCTCATAGCTTGCTTGTAAAGCATTACACTGTTCTTGCGATAGAAATCCTGCCCTAGTGAAGTCACTCACCTTATTACAAGTCTGTATAACGTCAAAATGATTTTGGAGAAGTTATTTTAAGATAAAATTGTACACAATGTTGCTTTAAATTCTAAATTAAATTATCTTTATATTGCTTAAAATTTTGACTTAAATATTGCTTTATTTTAAATATATTGTCCACTGTACAGCGAGGTACGCCGTTTTAAACTAAATTAAAGGCTATTCCATTTTCATGGAACACCCGAGGACCTCTGATTACGTCACTGATGATGCGTCCCAGTGCATCCCGAAGATGTATCTTGCACATAGGCTACACCAAAATATCAAAATGATTGGTTAAAGTGTTCAAGGTAGCTGTTGAAAAGATGGGTTTTGCTTTCACAGGTTCTGTCATGGGTTTAGTTTGTGCTCTCCCAGTTTTCTGTTTAATTTTGAAATGATCTTTTGTCTTATCTGGACTTAACTTCCTGTCTGTGTGCTCCTGGTTTATTGTCTGTATTAGTTTCACCAGTATTTAATCACCTGCAAATTTCTGTATATAAGGCTTTGTCTCCCAAAAATCTACATTTAGGTCGTCTCTGCATGTTGTCATGCCTACCTGCCTGTCTCCTGAGTTTTCCCTGTGTTTTGTCTTCCCTCTGTCAGAGCTTAGATATTGTTTTATTTTTGAGTTTTGGAATGTGTTTTTTTTTACAAATTTAGTTGAGTATAGTTGAGCTTTGTCTTCACAGATAATGATGAACTTGTCACAGGTCTATCTGACTCAGGACATACATGTGCAGAGTGGAACTTCTGTCTCGCCCTTCTGACAGTGAGAGTGATTACACAACACGGTCGACACATGCTTTTGATGTATGGGCTCTGCCATACTGAGTTGCTGCTGTCGCTACAGTTGCTCCCCTTTCATTTCCGGAAAACCAATCATTGCTGTTGGCATAAAACAAATCACCAGATTTAAAGACTGACTGCGGTATATTGTGAATGCAGACAGATTTCCCTGGTGATGATAGACTTACTCAGCATTGTCTAGACTCGTTTGGCAAGGGCTTGAATGTAACAGATGTTCATTTATATGTAAAAGTCCTGCACTCTAGCTATAAATACTTTAGGTTTATACTTACGATCACAATCTACAATGTAGACCTCAACTTCAATGCGAACCAGCTCTTTCAGCGCCTGCAAAAACATTCAAGATGATTAAAGAGATATAAAAAATTAAAGTAAAACAACTGTGAATGAACAACTCACTGTTTTGAGTCCCTTCAGAGCAGAGATGTCCAGGAAGGACACAGCAGCAAAGTCCAGGATCAGGCTGTGAATGTCCACTCTGGGAACAACGATGTTGGCAGGAAGCTCTACGTTCCAGTCGATCCGGGCAGGAAGGTCCTTGAAGTCAGTCGGCAGGTCCAGCTCCTCCATGTTGCTCTCATCATCTGACTCCTTGATGGGTCCAAATGACTTATTCAGGAAGCCTTGCTGTAATGGTAAAATATTATTCATACATGTTTCTCACTTTTCTTGAGATTATATGAAAACATAAACATAACAAACAAACAAAACAACATAACATCAGCAACGTTTAACGTTGGGGGGAAAATGTAACTTTTCCTAATCTGCAATACAAGACCAATATTTATAAAGATATACAGTGGGTACGGAAAGTATTCAGACCCCTTTCAATTTTTCATTGCAGCCATTTTCCAAAAATCAAAAAAGTTCATTTTATTTCTCAGTAATGTACACTCAGCACCCCATCTTGACAGAAAAAAACAGAAATGTAGAAATTTTTGCAAATTTATTAAAAAACTGAAATATCACATGGTCATAAGTATTCAGACCCTTTGCCGTGACACTCATATTTAACTCAGGTGGTGTCTATTTCTTCTGATCATCCTTGAGATGGTTCTACACCTTCATTTGAGTCCAGCTGTGTTTGATTATACTGATTGGACTTGATTAGGAAAGCCACACACCTGTCTATATAAGACCTTACAGCTCACAGTGCATGTCAGAGCAAATGAGAATCATGAGGTCAAAGGAACTGCCTGCAGCAATCCACCAGTCGGGGCTTTATGGCAGAGTGGCCCGACGGAAGCCTCTCCTCAGTGCAAGACACATGAAAGCCCGCATGGAGTTTGCTAAAAAACACCTGAAGG